AAAAAAGGACACACCGCGACTGCCAGAGAGATACCCTCCGGTAAACTAACAGTTTGCTATTGAAAAATGCCCATTTATAGTTGGTTTACCCATTAAAAATGGTGATTTTCCATAGTTATGTTGGTTTGCCAGAGGGTAAGTTCTTTGGCATTTTGTGGGATCCCCACTTTGAAGTTGATGTGTATGTGTATATGGTAGTTGCCACAATTATAGAACGGAAGTTGAGGAGTACGAAAGTACTGTTGTTTACCGTACCCTGTTGTTCCATAATTCCTGTTTCCTCAGAACGTTGGGAAAAAAACTTACTCTCAACTTACTCCTAACTTTTTTGTCGTTCTATACAGTTTTTCTTGTTTGTGTTCCATAATTGTGTTTTCCCCCATATTTCTCACATTTACCAATTCTGTTCTATAATTGCGTGTTCTATAATTGCGAGTATTTAATTTGCAAAAATTCCGTTCTATAATTCTGGTTTCTATGTACATTCTTCCGGGGTCCCAGAAAGATACATGAAATCACGTAAAAAACATGTAAGTAACCCCCAAGACTCATACAATCTGCATGTTGCCGGTGGTTTCAATGGGAATTTGAGGACCGAGGTACGTACTGTACCATCTCATATACGGCCATATTCTTTGGGGTATGTATGTACGGTATGTGTGTAATTATGTATACATATGCAGTAGATATCATGTATGCACATAATATCCAAATTTTCATGGCCACAATTATAGAACGGAAGTTGAGGAGCACAAATGAATTGTAGAACAGCCACAAATTAATCATAGAACAGGATCATCAGGATCCGAATCCGCGCGGAATCGGGATCCGGAGGAGTATGAAAGTACGGTATTTTACCGTACTTTTGTTCTCCTAATTCCGTTCTATAATTGTGATAACTCCTGCACATGAGGGTACTGTACCCCAAATGGATAGTTTGTAATGGAAAATATTAATTAAAAATATTAAAATGGATGATTTAGGGGTACCCACATTTTAAGAAACCCCCGTACATACATTTATGTATGTAGATATCTCTGCCATAAATCAAACAGTTTTCCTATTTGCAAGGATGTTTCACAGGTGTGACTCATCCAGCTACAACAACATCAAACCTTAAATGGTGTTGCTTTTTAAGTGGAGGTTTAAAAAAAAAACGATTAATTTAGTTTGCTTTACTGCTGGCGTTATTTGTATTAAATTAGTATATAGTGGTCTTTTTTAAAGATAGACAAACAGTTAAAAACTGGTTGGTTTGAACCCCTCTGAAAAATATTAGTCAGTGGGGATGATTATTCCCAATATATGGAAAAGTAAAATTCATGTTCCAGTCACCACCAACCAGAAAATGATGATAAACAAGTAGACTGTGGTCCCATGCAGATCGCATAAATTCTGCTGGCACCAGGATTTAAACGATGGAACTCGTTGAACTAAATAAAACATGGTAAACCCCAGCAAACATCATTCTATATGGGTATGGGTCAAAATTAGGTACCCCAAAATTATGGATGGTTAATACTAAACTAGACTAACATCTGGTGTCCTCAAACATGGGTGGAAAATTCACCAAGTATTTATATGGGGATGGGTCATGGCACCCTGGTACCATTCGTGAACCCCAAAATAGCTGGGATTTATGGATGTGAATAACCCACTAAACATGTATCTATAGGTATTGACCCATACCCATATCTTTGTACGAGCTTATTTCTACTAATTCGCCCTGATTTCTTTGGTCGTTTGGAGAGTTTCCCCCAATATCCACCACTATTTGCAATGACATCGCAGTGAAGTGGTTGTAGATTGCCCAAATGGAAACCAAATTGGTTTGCCCCTCATTGTTGCCGGTTCACTGCCCTATTCTCGCCAGTTAAATCTCCCATTGTAAATAATTATACATCTTTCGAAAATCTTGTTTATTGGTGTTCCTTTTCTTTCTATTTTTGATGTGTATATCCCCTCTGGTAATCCAACATAGCCACGGAAAATGGTCAGCTTCAATAGGTAAATCATCTATATACAAATAGGCAATCTTCGCCATGTGAAACAAAAAATCTAGATCATTATACATACACCGTCATAAATTGACAACAAATATATATATATATATGTATACCATCTGGTTATTTAACATAGCCATGGAAAATCTCTTATAAATGGAGGTTTTAATGGGAAAATCATCCATAAATGGGCCATTTTCCATGGCTATGTTAAATAACCAGAGGGTATATATAGACATAAATATATATATATATACACACAAATCTTCTACCAACCTACCTACCATTTCGCGTGTTCAAATCTTGGGTCGTTCAAATCTCCCCCGTCACCAACCAAGGAACGCCCGTGCAAGGCGAAACCTCCAGCTGATGATTTTTCCATGGTGTCATTTCACTGACTTTTAAATGATGATTTGTTACATTTAAGCACCAAAAGTGTTGATACAATGGAGATATAATGACTGGTTGGTGGTGCTATTTCACCATCTTGAAAAATGATGGAGTTCGTCAATGGGTTTCGGATGACATCCCATATACTACATGGAAAATAATCCAAATCTTTGACACCAGCAACCAGATGAGGATTTATGAAAATATTAGTAAATATATGGTGGATAATCCAACAACAACCAATATACCAATAGTGGTTTGAATGGTTTTTTCCATTTCAATACTATGGTGAATTTTTATGAGTGGACTATTGGTTACCCTCTGGTGTCATCAAACATAGCAAGCTGGAAAATCCCGGTGGAAAACACTTCAGCAAGCCACGGAGCAAGCTGATGACACCGGAGGGGTTTCACATGTCGGGGATGATTCGCTTAGTGTCAGTTATTAAACTGGGATACTTCTGGAAATATATATTGAAATGACTGTTATGATGGTGTCAGTTATAACCTATATAACTGGACACCTTTTTTGCCATAGCTGTATAATGGGAAATATATTCATGAAGTGACGACTAATACTATTCATATTCACTTATACAAAAATGTAATGTATACAATCATATAACCGTATACATTCAAAATAATAGCATAAAACAAACTATGTATATATGTGATACCTGGATATATACATATCCGTGTGTAAGTTTATATATATATACATTGTCCAAAACATATTCAGTTGCATGTTCATGAACAAGTCTACATACGAAAAAAACAAAAAAAACTATAGTTGCCTTATAATGGTATATATATACACACTGTCAATTAAAACTATGAGAATAGTGATTTCTTTGCAGGTGGCAGGTGACACTTGGCAGGTGACATGAAAATAGTGTTTTTTTTGATACGTTCCACTACACGCATGTCATGTGAGCATAGTATATATAAGTGTCTTTAAAAAGTGCATGTCGGCGCAAATAGATCACAATTCTCAACCAATATATATATATGTGTATATATATATATTATATATATATCCGATTCAAGGAATATTTGACTCATTCGACCCCAAGCCATCGATTTTGGATCCTGTATGGATTCACAGATGACTCCGGTTTTTTGGCCGTGCGATGACTGGAAAATCACCCAGCCCAGAGGCGGGATGATGATCTTTTGCCCATTTTCATGGGGATATTGCTGCCGCAGCACAGAACTTAGGAGTGGGATGATCCTACTTAAAGTTCTGGAGTAAACATGTTAAAAAACAGATAATGACCATCAGATATCCAGATATGTTTGTTGGTATCCTATGCCATAGTTTCCTAGATATATCCACATACTGGAAAAAAACCCTTCAAAAAAAAGAATTAGTGAAGTTATATGAAAATTAGTAAACCATGGTTTATTTTCCTGGCTTGAACATATTCCCTTTTTTTCGGAAACAAACATCCCCCAAGGGATCCCAAGGGCCAAACTCCCAGAGCCATCGCGCCGAAGTGCATCCGCGCCAAGCGCACAAAGCGCAGTAGGCGCAACGTCTTCGAGAGCCGTGCCACGCCCGAAGCCCCTGCGCCCTGTGGCTCTGGGAGTTGGGTGATTCTTTGGTGAGTTGATTTTGTCGATTTGTCGATTTTAGTGGTACTGTGGATGGTTGCGAAATCACCGGTTGATAGATCTGTTCATCCCATTTTTTATAGGGTTGAAAAACCATCCAAGGTGGTGCAGGATTTCGCAACCATCCACAGTATCTAGGTATCTAAACTAATCTTAGAAGGATCTACATAAGTTTGAATTGATTTGAATTGTGTCCAAGTAGGCGTATCTGTATCTATTGCTCGAGATGGGCACGGATGAATTGTTGTCTTGTTATCTGTTAAAATGGGCCGAGGATGAAATCTTCAAGATAAGGGATACTAGAATGTCATCGGCTATTTCCTGGTTCTGGCTAAAAGTAATCGATTGTCCAACGAAACCTAGATTTAATTACCCTCTGGTAATTTAACATAGCTATTGAAAATGGCACTTTATAGTGGATTTTCCCATTAAAAATGGTGATTTTCCATAGTTATGTTAGTTGGCCAGAGGGTAGTAGAGTAGAGGCAGAGGTGATACGCATCTTTGCTGGCCCTGAGGGGCCTTGAGATTCTGATTTTAAAACCAGCTGATTTCAACTTTAGGTGGTTCCCTGGCACGGAAACATCATATTTTTGTTCAAATATCCCGAAGAAATATGAATGTGACAATTCATGGTTCCCTGGCAATGACCCACCCAGCCCCGAAAATTTCATCATTCACCGACCAATATGAAAGGTTGGTCCCTTAAAATGGTTTACCAGAGATCGAAATGACAAGGACAGTTACTCTCCTGAAAAAAGGCGCCTCAAAATCCGGAGCCGATAAGTCATGATAAGTCAGTTTGTGCAAGTATCATCCAAGAGAACCAGAAAACTGTTGCAGAATTTGTACCAGAATATAGAAACGTTGATATAAATTACGAAAAAAAAACATAAATCGAAATTCGCATAGCATAGCAGAAACATAGCAGAAACATAGCAGAAACTATCAGAAACTTATTTGAAAAATTGGAACAGATTCCCAAGATGGCGCTTGCGCCAAATCCTATGGGTTTCCGGTGAGGTTTCCAATACTCCCAACCAAGCCACCCAGCCATCGGATTTTTTCTGGATATCCCTGTCAAAACCCAATTTTTAGACTGTTTTTTGCTGGTGGATTCCAGTTTTGCAACACACAACCTCCCAAAAAATGGGGGGGCCTAAGTCATGGAGCTACCCCAAAAAATCATCCATGTTCAATCACTTTAATAGGATTTTCCTTTATAAACCAGCCATTTTTTGGTGGATCCCTGGGTTTTTGTCCATGGAAAAGCCTCCAACCGCCCTCCAAAAGTCCAAAAAACCTGGGCCCAAAGGCGCCTCCTGTTGCGCCGCCAAGGCCGTTAAGACCCAATCCACCGTGACCACGGCGAGATCCATAAAGAACCAAGTCCTGGCCAAGATGGTTAATGAAATAATATAATTTACCCAGATGCATTAACAATCTTTAACATTCATTGGATTTTATCCATTAACCATATTTAACCATATTCAACATTCATTAGCCATCCAGTTGTGGAATGATTATCATGATGATTATCATTTACATAATTTCCACTATTATGGTGAACATTTTCCAACCAATCCAATATTTAATGGATGCTTTCCCCATTAATCTGGGTAAATGATCATATTTCACTAACCTGAGTGCGGCCATTTGGGGATGATTTCCCTTAATCTAACCATGATTCCAGGGTTCGGTCGTTATAATTTACCCAGACAAATGGAGAATTGTCAGTTTTTAATAGGGGATTTATATACATGGGATTTACATGAAATTTACCAGATACTTGGGGATGTTTAATGGAGATCCCGCCCAGTGAGTTTTGATCTATGTATATATATATATATATTAATTTGATGGGATAAACGGAAGTCAGTTTGCTGGGATGTTTTAGGGCTATCTCAGTGAACTTTTAGGTGTATTGAATACAAAATTATTTTTTGCGTTGTCTACATCTTGTTTTTTCGGCTTCTCCGAGATAGTTTTATGGGGATCCAAATGAATGTTGGTATTTTCTTAGTGAATTGATTAGGATTACCCTCTGGTAATTTAACATAGCTATTGAAAATCACCATTTATAGTGGATTTTCCCATTGAAAATGGTGATTTTCCATAGTTATGTTAGTTTACCAGAGAGTACCCTGGGGCAAACTAACATAGCTTCATAGATGTAAAAAATCCACCGATTTTAGTTTGATCATTTCCCCAGGGAAACCAGTGGTTTTCCACATCGAACCGTTAGTTTCCCCTAGGATTTTCTACAAATACCCTCTGGTAAACTAACATAGCTATGGAAAATCACAATTTTTAATGGGAAAACTCACTATTTCTATGGCCATGTTCAATAGCTATTTTGACATCACCAGGGGGGTGTGTCAGTTGTAGGGGGATCAGACCGTCAGTTCTAGAAGTTTCCAAGTCGGTTGAATGGCTTGGAAGCAGCCCCAAAAAGTTAGAACCTGATATATTGCCAGGTATAATGTGGTATAGTAGAATAAGATAGGGTATACTGTTGGAATGATATGGCTAGCACACTAAATAGAATACCATGTAGGGTTTCTTACTCATTAATGTTTAATACATCCTCTCATTCAATGTGTGCGCTCAGAAGGCATCCAATCGGCTTTTATCTCATCCAACTCAGACCAAATGCATAGCAATGCCCAATCTGGACCCATACGAAAATACTCATATGGTTTTACCCTCTGGTAAACTAACATAACTATGGAAAATCACCATTCTTAATGTGCAAATCCACTAGAAATGGGCAATTTTCAATAGCAAACTGTTAGTTTACCAGAGGTTATCCAAAAATGGTGTCTACCCCATATTATAGGCCATACAATTGCGATGATAGGGCGATACGTTCGCGAACGATGCGTGCCCTTTGTGCCCCTTTATCAAGACCTAAGGTGAGACTTTGGGCCATGGTTGTCATCCGTGAAAGCAGTTGGGAATCCCAAACTGCTTGGTGGTTGACCTACCCCTCTGAAAAATATGAAAGTCAGTTGGGATGATGACATTCCTAATACATGGAAAGTCATAAAATTCATGTTCCAAACCACCAACCAGATATCGTGGCCATGTTGTTTCTTGGTTAAAAAACCCCTGGTGCGATGACCCCGGTCCCAAACGAAACGCAGGATCTAACAGTCCTGAGGTAATGAAGGGCAATCCGTTTGGGTTTCATCACCAAAATACCTGCCATCTGGAATTTGACCGGAAGCGCAGCTACAGGGCCTATTGATTTACCGTTTTCCAAACATTTTGAAAATTACCCGTTTAACCCAGTTTTGACATAAAATCGAAAAATGTAAATTGACATCAAAAAGATTAAAAACTCATAAAACATGGAAGTCTTCAGCAATTTGCCGTGTTTTTGGAAACACCGCAACGTCACCAGGCCGTTTTTAGCTTCGGAGTTGTTGACGACCAACGGCCCGGTGAGTTCAGGGCGATCAATGATTCCTAGGCCTGGCCGATCCCCATGAGGATTAAACAACAAACGTCGGCATCACCTTGAGGCCTGATTTTCTATCTTACCTATAATGTATATTATATATATATTATATATAATATTATATATGTATTATATATGTATTATATTATATATTATATATTAATATATTATATATTAATATATTATATATTATATATTAATATATTATATACATATATATATATATGGGCAAATTATAATAATTCAGTCGTTACAATTTACCCAGATATATCTACTCGATCTACTTATATAATCAAACCCTCCGGCTTGTGTTCACGTCTCTCGAAGCCACCGATTTACAGCTCACCGGGTGGGGCACGGAACATCCACCATGGATTGCGCAAGGTTTGGGGGTCCATTGGCTGCTGTGTTTTTCACAATCTAACATACTGGACATAATGTACCAAATATATATTTATACCTGTAATGAAAATTATATGTAATCTAATTATAATATATAATATACTAAATACAAAATATAGTAATGTATATATATATATACTAGTTCAAAATATTACTCTATATATATATATACATGAAATTAATTACAATTATATGTATATCCTTGTTATAGCATGCCAAAATGCAAGCAATTTCCATACAAGTCGGATAAGTCAGAGTCAGTTGAGTCTGAATTCTGACCCTTGGACTTGACCATCGTTAAATGGCATGAAACAAATGCTGATTGATGTTAGTAACTGGGTTAGTATATGCTAGATATATATATATATATGTATATCAATAGTAAAATCACTGATGTTATTTACATCTATTTACTAACTGACTTAGTAATCCCTTCCCCCTAATATTAAACGCCCCCTAAACGAAACCATGGTATACTAGGGAATTTCCACATTCCATTGGGACCATTTATGGGGTGTTTAATATTAGGGTGATGGGAATTTCATACGATTCACCAACCATGCGTCTCGCCTCGATAGTAATATCCCGTAATGAAGGAGATGAAGATATCTGCGTTCCTGGGGTATCCAGGGTGGGCTCGGTAACCCTCAGAACACATACGTCTTTTGGAGGGTCATTCCTAGGTATATAAATTAATGTAGATTATACACCATTTTACAGCCTCCTTTGTTCGGGATGGTTTCTTACTGGGTTTATGTCATGATCTGGCTTCGCCGATTTTCATGTTTGGCATCAATAAAAAAATACAAATATGATGGGTACATGGTTTACTCTTCATGGTGCTCGAAAGTCGGAAACTCCCACAGTTGGCTGGACAAAGAGAACTAGGCATATGGCAGTGTGTCAAAACCTTGTACCCCTGTAGTTCACATCAAAATAGCTGGTAAATGGATGTTCATCCCCCTAAAAATGGTATTAATAGGTATTGATCCATACCCATATAGTCTATATGGTCAGAACAAAAAAAACGATGCGCAAATTTTCGATGTTTTTCGTTTTCGTTCCCCTATGGGTTCCTGGAATTTCCTTGATCAAGTGGCCAATTGAGTTGCACATGCTACACATCATGAAACCAAACCACAGCTTTGTCTCATACAGCACATTCAAAGTAAACCGTCCCCAATTTGGTGGTATAAACCATCAAAAATGTGTGGTGGTTTATTGTTGTCAACCACATCATTTATATATATATATACATACATATACATATATATATATATATTTGTTTCAGGGTCCTATGATCTATGTTGTGTATTTCCTTGGGAAGGAAAAGACTGTTTTCCCTCTGCTAAGAGTGAAACTCCATCTAAACTTCTGTAAATCATTGTAAATCCATCCATTCAGCTATCCCCCAAAAAAAACTTTGGAAAAGTAATATAAATCTAGGCAAATTATAATAATTCACTAATCTGAAATAAGGCTATCTTGGGGATGGTTCCCTTACTAACCATGATTTCCAGTGAGGTCGTAGTGAGGTCGTTATAATTTACCCAGATAAATGAGAAGTTGTAGCCAATTTCATCCATTGTATCGAACTTGGCTATTCAACACATGCCAGACTTCCTAAACTACCCAGCCGTTACGATCGCCCCGCTGAGGCGCCAAAAGAGCAACGTCACAAAATTCATGGTATCCTTAGGACGGGTCAGGCCACGGTTGAAGAGTTGGCTTTTTGACCATTTGACCCTTGTTCTATTTGAGAAACACAATAATTATAATCCATGCCCAATTAGAGTTTATGACATTGGGTATACCTCAATAGTCCATTATCTAATAATTTAATATTATGATATATATTACATTGGGTATACCTCATTAGTCCATTATGTTTTTATTTGTAATATCATAATATGTCATAATCCCCTGGTGTTCGGGGACACCCAGTTCTTGACCAGTTCACACAAAATGGCCCCCTGGCTGAGGAAATGTGACTGGGACGGAGATCCAGCCGTGAACGCGTCTTGAAGCAAGCAGCATATACCCTCCGGTAAATTAACATAGCTGTTGAAAATGGATGAAAATTGCCCATTTCTAGTGGATTTGCCCGTAAAGAATGGTAATTTTCCGTAGTTATGTTAGTTTACCAGAGGGTAACAAACCTTAGGGCAAATTAACATAGCTATGCACATCACTATTTGTAATAGGCAAAATCCCTCAAGGGGGCATTTCCATAGCTATGTTAAATTATGAGTACCAGAGGGTAGGCATTGAAACAATGAACATGGAAATCAAATGGCATCTACCATTAAACAAAAAGCTGGGGCATCGGAGCAGCAACACATATTGAGAAGCTCCAGGCTGCCCATCCGCCATGTAAAATACCATTTGTTTACCCATGAAAAACCTGCATGTCCCCATCTTCCCTTACAGTTATTGCCCTTAACAGTTATAAATGTGAGTAAGGGACATGCAGTTTCTGCTACGTTTACAACTGTTAAGGGCAATAACTGTAAGTATATATTTATCAGTTATAATTTTTGCAACGTAATAAGTATATAACAGCTATGCATAGCTATGCAACGTAGTAAGTTTTTTGTCAGTACGCATGCAGTTTCTGAGCCAGTTATGTCTGTCCGCCGAAAGTCTGAGAAAGAGGTCCAAGATCTCGTGAGATCGAAGAATCGCAGCGGAATCATCCACTGGGCGGATGATTTTTTGATCTTAGATATCTTAGATTTGGGATGATTTGGGGTTAACATGGGTTAACCATGTTTAACGTTAGAATATGGTTGAACTTTTATTGATGTTGTTGCTTGAAAAGGTTGAATCATCATGAAATAAATAAAAACTTGGGGATATAATGTGATATATAGCCAATTCCATGGTGTTTTTATGTATTTTCCATACCCGCAACGTGGTGGGCATTCAAAATGACTAGTAAATGACTAGATCACTCAACCAGGACCTTTGGGGGGGATTCAGGAAACGCAGAGGCATGTCCCTGGCCGTGTGGCACTTTTTGGACCCTAGTGCGGGTGAAATTGAGAATCATAATTTGATTTTTTGGCTTTTGGTCACATATTGTACTCTTGTTTGGGTGTATGATGGGGTTCAGGTCTGACTGTATGTCATTGACGATATCCCAGCACCTGCTTTTCCAAAGATCGACTTATTGGTATAAAGGACGTTGAGTTTGTAAGGATTAATTGATGAAAGGATGAGTTTCACCTAGTACAGTGGTAGGCAAAAATGGTTACAGCAATATTTTAACTGAACCCTAGGGCCCTAGATATCTCAATGGTTGGCGGTTTCAACACATCCTCAAAATCTGGGTCAATTATTTGGAGGACCAAGATTGGAACCCCCTATCAAAACTCTACTTCATGCCTAAGCTCACTAAGTATTAGACTAGATATATACTAGATATTCCTAGATTATATATAGTAACCCCCATCAAAAAAGCAAAATCCAACGATATAAAAACCATGTTTTTTGGGGGCCTTACTATATCGATGATCTGGACCTTTATGTGGACGCACCAAGCGAGGGAGCCAAGGTGCAATGTCGAAGACCAAAAACCTGGCTTTTTTGACGGCCGCAGCTTGAGACTTTCATCATTTAAAAAAGTGGGACCTGGTGAAATGTGGATGGCTGACGATTTTTTTCTCTCATGGAGAAAATCGAACACCTTGATGGTATGTTTACAGCATGAAACGATCATTCATGAAAGTTTACGTCGAGCATGTCCAAACTATGTGATCCAACAACTGGCGGATTCTAGTAGCCCTGGGCCCCTGGGTTTGGAAAATGACCCTGTCAGTACAAATCTCGTGAAAAATACCCTGCTCGTTGCATGTATTTTCATGTAATGTCTGCGCAGAAAACAACGACTTACATCATGCCAATCATGCCATACCTGTTGCATGTCTTCTAAATCTTCAGTCAAAACGAGATGAGTTTTCCGATCGTGTGCAGCAGCTGAAAAACAGTTTCCGACGGTCACCTGGATCCACCTGGGCGCTTTCATTTTTTCGCCAGGGAGCATCATCCCAAGAATACTCCAGAAACTCCGAAACTTACCTCAGAAAAAATATCGGGAAACCATATGGGAAAATCTCGGGAAAAACTGAAATTGGTGCTGGTAGTTGTCATGGCCCAGTCAAAGTAAAGAATACATGGTTGGATTTGTCTGGAAATAAGCAAAGTCATACAGGATGGGGCCCCCCAGTTATAAGTTGGTTTATAAACCATTATAAACCTCATTAACTATAGTTGTATCTACCATAAACCATAGTCAAGCCACTTATAAGGCAACTGCACGCTATCTTGGGGGCCCCATCCTGTAGGTACACGCCAAACAATATATGTGTTACCCTTTGGTAACCAACATAGCTACGGAAAATTGTCATAAAAATCTACGATATACCCATTGCCTAACATAACTATGGAAAATCACCATTTTTAATGGGTAAATCAACTATAAATGACAATTTTCAATAGCTATGTTAAAGTACCAGAGGGTATCACGATAATTTTCCCATTGAAATGACGAAACAATTGGGGCACCTCGTGGTCAGCTTGACCTGCAACTGCATAGAGAATCCAATTGGATCCTCAAGATATATCTGGTAAAAACAATGAAAAACATGGCTGTGTTACCCAAGAAATAGAATGATATCCGATATCCCAGTTTATTGCCATCAAATAATGGGGAAGAATGAAGATTTGAGGTTTATCTTTTCTATATATATATACTGTGTATATATATAATATATTCCCCATAACACTCCTATTATCTCCCCATCATTTCAGCGAAAAATGTCTACTACACCCTCCGGTAGTCAAACGTAGCTGGGAAATCCGCTAAATAAAATACGGAGGTTTCGTTCTCTGAGAAAACACTCTGAATCTATAAATGGTAACTGTCCAACAGTCCAACCAAGCATCAATATTAAATACCATCTATATAATGAAACATGGTTGGTTTCATATTGATGGAGCATGTGTATATATATACTGGTTGGTGGTATACCTACCCCTTTGAAAATATGAGTTCGTCAGTTGGGATGATGACATTCCCAGTATATGGAAAGTCATAAAAGTCATGTTCCAAACCACCAACCAGAAATGGTTTCATTTAGATGCTCCATGAATATTGGAAGCGGCCACCAAAACCCCATCCAGTCGTCAAGAAGTTGCTCACAGGGTGCACCATAATGGACTTCCAGCCTCCAAGAAAGCCACAACCCTCTGGGTGCAGTGGGGTGAAAATCATGTGTGTAACTATGGTATAATTAACTATGTTAATAACCCCCATAAGCTGGGATATAATCCCTACAACTATGGTGAAATCTATCCAGTTACAACAGAAAATGCACTTCCAAGTGATAGTTCAACATAGCCATAGAAAATGACCATTTTATAGCTAGGTAAATCATTACCAGAGTGTATCTGAAACCATTAAATTCAAAAGGAGATTGTGGGATAGTATGAGGACATACGTATATATAATTGGTTATCGAACAATATGTTTATATATATATACCCTCTAGTAAATTAACATAGACCCTGGCAGTTGTCGGGGTTGGAAGACTAGTTTCCATTAAACATTGGTGATTTTCAGGGTCAAACTGTTAATTTACCAGGGGGTAATTGGTGATCGAACAAGCGATCAGATTGTTTCGACCTGATGCGGACATTCTGAGGATCCGATGGTGGTTTTGGCCACCAAGCTTAATACGTGCTCGATGATGCTCGTCAATCGGGATCATAAAGATATGGCAGTGGGTCAAAACCAATAGTACCCCTGTAGTTCACATCAAAATAGCTGGGATTTATGGATGTTCATCCCATTAAAAATGGTATTAATAGGTATTGATCCATACCCTTATGTGAAACCAGAAACTAGTATAAATAGGGAGGGGTGCTGTACGCTTAAACGATCTTCAAAGTGTTTCTGACACTTATTGGCCTTATTGGACCTTCCAATGAATGAAGCAAGGTTTATTCATCCAGTATTGACGCTACAGGGTGCATGCCTTGCAATTTTGAGAGTGAAACCGTTTCTTGGTCATCTATAAAATAATATTTTATAATTTGCATAGATTACTGTATCTGTTGGGTAGCCAGCAAAAAAGCAGAAATGGAAACGGAAAGTCACAACTCCCGGATCAGCAGGTATCAACAACCTGCACTTCATAAAATTGTGGTGCTCATGGCAAACAAAAAAGAATAAGTTTTTGCAGGAGCGGCAAATCCGAACACTTTCATCTGGAAGTTGTCAACATATCAAAAGAAAAAAGATGCTGGTCATTTTCCACCCCAGTTGCAATGGCAGAGAACCAAAAATATGTTCTCTTCAAATCACTAAGCACCCCCCATCTCTGCAGTACAATAAATGTGTGTGTGTGCTTGCGTTTCGGCAAACCCAAACCAAGTGCGATAAAACCCTAGAATTTGAACTCTCGTGTCAGTCAAATTTAAACACCTTCAAGTGAACCAATTCTGAGATTTCAAGGCGGCTTGACTCTCAAATCTCAAATTCTCACCGTTTCGATCTTCTTCAACTAAATTTCAAGAAGGGAAAATTCACATCGAACCAGGAGTGCGGGCAGGGTTTACCGGAAATGGCCAAATGAGTAAGTATAGCTCAAAATCATTACCCTAAAGGCGCTAAATACAAAAAACATGTGCGCCATTTGCAGCCATTTGCTGGTCCACTTGTATTAACTTTTTGCAGTCGTTGAGCCACAAATATCACAAATGTATACAAATGTTGTTGCTGAGAAATCATGGTACAGGAGAATGGGCTTCAAAACCTGCGTCCCTGTAGGTGTTCGGTCATACCAATCCATCATACGTGCAGATGACCGCAGAATCGAAGGAAATCCCAGTTATAACTATTATTGGTTATAAAATATCCGTAAATATTCATTAAGTTCCATAAAATTACCATAACTGTCCATAAATGTCCCCATTTGTTTGTTGTTTGATCTTCCCAAACATCACTTTGGGGTTCCTGGATATCTCTTTTCGTGCCTGCCGCCACCGAACTCGTCCAGCTCGTTCGTCCTTCCTGAAACGTGGCTGGTTTCGTTCTGGGCAACTGAAGTGATGAAATAATCCTTAATTGAAAGAGGTTTTAATGGGATAATCAATGAAATATCAATGGAAGATTCATAGAAGATGTTCCATTTAATGATGCTTTTCACCAGGTTTGATTACCGTATGGTAATAGAAAGATGTTGAAGTGGGCTATAATTCATGGACAATATGACCCACCTTGGTCCAGTCTAGTCTAGTCTAGTACAGTAAGTGCAGTATCGCATATTGAATCTATTTGTATCTGCATTAAAATCATTAACCATTGACACTTCAGGAATCATCCCAATAAGGCCCCGAAAAGTTTAAACGTCAAAGATGGGACCGATCCAAGGATTCAAAGGCTACAAAGACCAGGACATAGGCACAGACGCAGACACATCTCAGGGTGTAGCTGTTATATCTTTCGGGTTGGATAGCGACCAAAGGTCCATTCTGGAATGACCATTCATAGAATCTACAACCCCAAACTCTGCGGTAAATCATCATAGCTTTATTTCCCAGACATAGCGTTTCAACTCGCCTGAAACTCCAGAATTATCCAATGGAATCCAAGCTGGTCATAGAAAATACCCACGCTTCATCATTCCCACCCTTAATTACATACCCTACCAAAAGCTGAATGAATTTTCCAGATGCTTAGTAAAGATATGTAAAGATTCTGGCAAAAGATAAACGTCAAGCAAGCCATGGGTCACTGTCACCCTATCCCATTATCATCCATGATCCAAGAAATGTCAAGAGATGCAACCGGAACCGACTCATTGGAGATACCTAACATATATAAAACCAAACAAAAAATATATTGCCTAAATTTCAGGCAATATCCCCAGAAACTAAATTTGTGTGGCCAGAAATATAGTAATTTTTAGTACCTCCATGTAATGGATCCTGAAATGCCCATTGAACGGGCCGGTGATTTGGCATTTCGCGTGAAACGCTCCTGGGTGGTGCCCCAAATTGCGTTGGTACTGAAGATCTTCGCATGGGACTTGTGCGACGCCTCAGGGACAAAGATTCATGAGAAACATATGGATACGCAAATGATCGTATTTTCTCGTGGATCCTGGATACTAACAAGAGACTACAGGATATCGATTCCATAAGTCATTGTTACATGTATATATATATATATACATATATATATATACATATATATATATATACATATATATATACATATATATATACATATATATATACATATATATATATATACATATATATATACATATATATATACATATATATATATATATACATATATATACATATATATATATACATATATATATATACATATACAATCATACATATATATATATATGTTTAGTTTTCATATATGTTGTTCATAACTGGTAGTATGTTCTCACAAATCATAAACAGATACATGGAAGTATTTATGACTTATATTAATCTGTGGTCTTGTTTTCCAGAATGGAGGTTCAATGATATTATTTACCCCATCATTGCCAGGTTTCCAACTTGTCTAATGTGGTAAACCCAATGCCATAAACCTACCACTTGGGGATGGTGTATACAACCAATAAACATGGTGATGACTTGGGGGTGGTTTATGGCATTGGGTTTACCAAATTCATCATCATATATATATAATATTATACTGTATATATATATATTATATATATATATACACTGTAGGTGTATGTATATATATCATGGAAGTATTCAATGTGACTTTTGAGAAAGGCGTATGAGTTTTTAACCCAACCAGATTGGTTAGTGGGAATATAGTGGCACATATTGGGAACAAGTGGGAACTTGATGAAATTTGCACAACATAAACCTTTGGCATCCTCTAGCTTTGCATGCCCATGCAACAACTAGCATCACATACCCTATTTGGCGTTTGAACTATTTTTCTCCCCCAAACAAACAATTGCGACTATTGGTCCTGGGTAGATATGATCTAAAAATAAACAATCACATCGCATGTCCATCATTCATGACATACATGGAATGTTCATCATTCATGATTTTCATGAAACGTCAAGATGTTTCACATACCATCTGGTAAACGTTTACGGTTTGCTATGCAAAATGGCCCATAGAAATAGTTGGTTTACCTATTTAAAATGGTGATTTTCCAGTTCGCTATGTTAAATTACCAGAAGGTAAGTGAAATCATCATTAACCATCATTAATCACCATTAACCATTAATCACCATTAATCATCATTAATCACCATTAATCATCATGAATCACCATTAATCATCGTTAATCACCATTAATCATCATTAATCACCATTAATCATCATTAATCACCATTAATCATCATTAATCACCATTAATCATCACTAATCACCATTAATCATCATTAATCACCATTAATCATCATTAATCACCATTAATCATCATTAATCATCATTAATCACATTAATCATTAATCATCATTAATCACCATTAATCATCATTAATCACCATTAATCATCATTAATCACCATTAATCATCATTAATCACCATTAATCATCATTAATCACCATTAATCATCATTAATCACCATTGATCATCATTAATCACCATTAATCATCATTGATCACCATTAATCATCATTAATCACCATTAATCATCATTAATCACCATTAATCATCATTAATCACCATTAATCATCATTAATCACCATTAATCATCATTAGTCACCACCATTACCATCAGGGTTAATATTGTTGCTGCGTCTTTGTAGCCATCCAAACCATTCATCCCGCTGCGGGATGGCCCCGCAGCCATGCTTACGTCTTTGAAGAGATTTTTTAACGGTGACCAACCTCTGGAAGCAAAATGTGATTAATCCCACCCCCAAAAAAACACAATATGGACAATGGGTGGGATTATCAATTGATAATTGATAGCTAGTGATAATTATAAATTCCTACCATTTGGGAGTACTAAAAACCATATCCAAAAATGGTTTCCTACTGTTTATAGGCTCAGAGCAGTGGTGCTTTGGAAACCAAGGGTGGGCCGTTGTCACATCGTTGTCACTTGGGCCAAGTCGCGGTCAAAGGATTCGCGCTTTCCCTGACGGTGGAAGAGTAAGTTACAACACGGTTTTGTATTTCCGTACAGTATATTCAAACATACATATGCAACAAAGGTAATCCACTTGAAGCCAATCCAACCATTCAAGTCATGAATAAAACATAATGAAAGAGGGTGTGTGTGTGTGCGTGTGTCACAACGGAGGATGCAACAACTTATACCCATCAAACATTCGGGAAAATAGATTTCCAACAAACTAAATGAAATTCTGGGTACCCTATTTCAAACAAGCCCGCACCGAGACCAACAAATGAAAAACCTTCAAATTTAGTAAAATACCCAAAATGATATACAATGCAATTACAATGCTAACATTAAAGGTTCATTGGGGAATGGAGGGCGAGGGTAATTGTTAAGTTGTTGAGTGTTCCCTGTGTTGCAAATATAGGTATCCCGACGCTGCCAAATACCCAGTGGTATTCAACCATGGCAATGGGACCCTTGTTTTCATGGGATAATCATATGTATTAAAAAACAAACAGATTTCGATCAATGTTTATCGAATTTGGATTCCCTGTTGACCTGTTGCAGGGTTTGATTACCAAAGCAACCTTCCTTGCAACAGTGCAAAACAACCAGTCTTAAAACAGAGTAGGCCCATCCGGAAGCAAAAACACAACCCACCATGCGCGAGAAAATAACGAAGCACGGGTCGAACCTACCTGTTTGCGACCAACCGGATATGAGTAGCATGAACATTGCCTACCGAATTTGCGACCTGACAATTTTAATGCTGGCTATACAGCAATGACTTGACCTACGAACCTACCTGATGCATATCCCCAAAAAAATGGCTGGCCTCTCTGGATCTGTTTGGCTGAAACAACCTTGGCCCATCAAACATCCCAGCCCCGTGCCTTTTCCAAAATTCTCGAGGTTCAAATGTAATGGAGACAGGCTGACTCCTGGATCAAAGTGGCAGGCGGGCTTTGTCACAAGTCCACCTGCGTGAGTCTCATAGGTAAAAGTGTTGGATGATGCAAAAGAATGTTTTCAATTTCAAACATAATCATCAGCACATGTCAGCACGGTTCGAAATCGGAAACAGTGCTACGCACAGCTGGGTGCCGCACGGGACACACGGGCGAATGGGGTCAAAACCCTGCTGACAAATGGATCCTAAGGCACTGGCCACGCGCAGCAAGGCTTTGAATAAGTCAGCGAAGCGCTTTGAAATGGCCAAATCGCAGAACATCCTCCTAAACTAATCCAACTGCCCGTCCAAATTTTCTCACTGTTCGCAATTTGGGGTGTATATTCGTTAGGTTTAGATCCGCTACCTTTCAAATCTCAAAAAGTCCCAGAAGGTCATGTCTGATTGTGGTATCACCAAGAGGCAGTAATGAAGCAAAAGAAACTGCGGGCATGAACGTTTTTTCCTACCAAAGCAATGCGATTTTTTCGGGATAAGCCGTTGATTGAAACAATGGCAGCCAATCTAATGACAAGTGATCCCTGTCAGTGAAACTGAAGATTGAGGGTTCTGAACGTAGCAGCAGGCATGACCTCGGCCCAATTGACATTGACCTTAAGCCCATGCAACAATAGTCACCGGCAACAGCAATGCCAAGTAATGATAACTTTCGCGCCTGCAAATTCAAGCACATCACCCCGTTAGACACTTGTTGGCCCATTCTGAGACATTTTGAAATATTTTGAGACATTTCGAGCAATTTTGAACAATTTTGAGCCAATTTGAACAACTTTGAGCAACTTTGAGCAACTTTGAGCAATTTTGTGCAGTTTTGGGCATTTTTTCGGCCCAGCTTGGGTCATTTCGAGTTTTGAGCATTTTTGTCGGGCAAGTTTGGGTCATGCCGAGCAATCTGAACAATTTTTGGAAGCACGATATGGCATTGTTGACCTTGCACAGTGTTCAAAATGTCTCAATTGAGGCTGCTTTGAGACATCTTACTTTGGCTGAAAAAGGTAGCTGATGTAAACCCCACGGTTCTAGACCCTAAAACGAGATCAGTGATTTTCCCTAATTTTATCAGAAATTCACAAAACCACTTGGATTTCTATGAGAATAAAGCTGCTACCCCCAAACCTCATGGTTTCTCATCCTCGGCCAGTTGCCACCCTCGATTCTGGCACGACATGCTTTGAAACACCGCCATGCTTGTATTTTGAAGCGTTGTTTTGGATGACGCTTTCAGAAAATACAGACAAATATCTGAAAAGATGGGAAACTCCCCAGCTTGTTTATGGAAAATTATATGAAATATTGGATAAATTAGATCTATATAAATGTTGCATGATTTTCCATTGGCAGCAGTGAAGCAGGGAATTTCTAGATGATTAGTGCTCACCTACGTTCAGATTTCCGTTGTTGCATCGTCCCAATAAAATCCAGAGGGCAAATGTGTGGCGTGGAGTCCTGAAGAAACACTGGAAAAGCAAAGCCTGTCTTCTGAATTGTGAGTAAGCCATGTCATTCCAATATCTCAAAAGTAACCCCAAAAAGAATCTCAACATGCAACTGAAAAGGGTGGTCCCGAACATAAGTTTACTAGACATGTCCCTGTTTGGGTTGTGAAAAAAATCGGAGGTTTGTTTACACACCAGACCAAACATCACCCAACATCCAATTGTGGATACTCCTCCACAAAAAACAACCAGAGAGTCAGTGAGGCATGAACTGGACGTTACCAGCTCTGCCTAAAAAGTTGCTTCCCTGGCTACAAAACGGTCAGGAACTGGTTAGGAACTGGTTAGGAACTGGTTAGGAACTGGTTAGGAACTGGTTAGGAACTGGTTAGGAACTGGTTAGGAACTGTTTAGGACCTGGCAGGACCTAGAAATCTTCATATCTTGACTGGTGGTATACCTACCCCTCTGAAAAATCATGGATGAATCGTCAGTTGGGATGATGACATTCCATTCCATTCCCATCTGTTTCTGATTCCATCGATTCCCATCCCATGATTCTCGGCTGTAAACGTATATGGACTTGGATAGACTCCTGGTGACTACTCCCATGGCAAAAGTCATCAAATTTTCGACTCATCTATTGGTTATATAGTAATCTCATGTCTATTCATGGTAAAAACATGGTAAAGACAGGTAAAAACACTAACTATGAATCCAGCATCATTGACTATATCAGTCTGGTGTGCTATCGGAAACATCAGTTTGTCAATGGAATACGCCCAAAAAGATGACCGTTTTTGCTGGGGTATACAATCCATGTCTTGATCAACCCATATCATAGTCTTGGATACAAATATACATGTATGTATGTATATATATATGTATATATACACCATATAATACCATTTTTTCTTGGCTATATTATATTACATATATATATATACACATACCATTCTTTCTCATTATATCCCCATTGATTATCATGTTTTGTCAATAAAAAATGTGTTGTCACTAAATCGCATTCTAGTTTATATCCTAATAGCAATATGGGTTTGTCATGATTTGTCTATAAACTAGGGTACTAACGTACTACCGCAAATTTGAAGGTCAATCATACATAACCCATTGAACCAACCATTTGCGGATGGTCCAGCCCATTCTCAAACACACCCAACTCATTGAAAAATCACCATGTACCCTCTGGTAAACTAACATAACTATTGAAAATGGCCATTTATAGTGGATTTTCCCATGAAAAATTGTGATTTCCCATAGCTATGTTAGTTTACCAGACATTATCCTACTAGCTTTCACCAGCATGGTTTACTCAGTTGGTCATCTCCAGGTTTCGTAAAAAAATCTCCAGGTTTCATCTCCTCAGGGAATCACTGGCCACACCGGCTCCACACCTTGTGGCCAGGTGCTCCAAATCCTTCGAGGTGATACTCCCGTTCTGCGCGGAATGTTCTGAGTCGGGATTATCTACGGAACCGACGGAAATTTTAACCATGGATGTGGATATTTCCCCATGGAAATTCATGAATTTCCATCCTGCAAATTCCATAAATGATGTACCTAGATAGGTATGTATATATATACAAATATACATGGGTAAATTCTAGTTCATGGGTACATAGGGAATTTGTTTCACTGACCTGAAGGCCGTGAGCGGCTATAAATTGTGATAGTTACCCGAATCCTAACCTGGATTCCAGTGACGTCCCAGGAAAAAAGGCATGTGTGCCATCATAGGGAGTGATACTACTTGGGGTATTGGGGATTTTTGAACCTATAGGAACATCAACAAACTAATACTAATTGGTGGTATACCTACCCCCTGAAAAATATGAAAGTCAGATTGGATCATCATCCCAACTATTGGGGGAAATAAAAAATGTTCCAAACCACCAACCAGAATATGTCATGGGAAAGCGGGTTATTTTTTGATGGACCGTGTTAATGATAACCAATGGTTAGCCGATGGTTAGCCGGGCCTGGTGCCTTGGAATTCCTGGAAAACATCCATGGTTTTTCGGCATATTTTGGTACCATCTCATGGGGATATAGCAGTGATAAAATTGAGGGTATCCGATGGCGCTGTCTTAAGTTAAAAGGGTCTAATTGTCTAATGACTTGCATGATTTGGGGGCATCCCCATGACTTAGGAATCCACAAAAACTGCAAGAACGGTGACGCGAAATCCTGCAGCAGTTGGTTTGTGTGGTTTATCCGATAAAAATCCCCTGGAAAATCCCATTATTTACCATCTGGTTATTTAACATAGCCATGGAAAGATCCACCATTTTTAAGAACGGTAAACCATCTATTTCTATGGGCCATCTATACCATGGCTATGTCAGCCATAACCAGAGGGTACAGTGTTTCATACTTACCTAACGGTTGCCGGTGCAAAAACCATCCCTGCGTCGGTTGATCGATGTCTACCGGTTGAACAAAAAAACATCTTGAGTTCACTGGCTTCGGTTTAGTACTCATCATGTGTTTTAAACCTCAGATGGCTGTCAAAACTTAACAGTTACTGGGCCCGACTGAGGTAGTAAAACCCAAGATTGGTGTCGATTTTACTATTGTACGAGTGATTGGTAGTAAACCAGGATACATGTGAAATTCTTACCATTTTCTAGAACGTTTTTTTCTACTATCACAGTCATATTTTCCAGGGATAGTAGAACATAGTAGAACTCTTATTGTACTAAACCCAAAGAAATGATGAAGATGGTCTGATGGTCCGCTGGGGCTGATATGGTTTGACCCGTGCCCTGATTTTGGAACCACAGCCGTTGGAAGAGAAACAACCAACGTTTTGTAAAGCTGGTGGAATGTTTGAAAATCTCGTAAAATCTCGTAAAATTATATACATATATATATATATGTTATATTATATATATATGTTATATTATATATATATATATGTTATTATATATACATGTATATTATATATATACAGGTTTCATGGTTTCATGGTTTGATCCAGAAGAGGCTGCGAATATCTGTGACAGCTTTTTACATGACTTCACCCTAAGGTTGTCGCATCCCAAAACTAGCCACAAAACAGGTGGTTGCCCAACAAGGTGTTTACCACTGTCACTACTCCGGCAATCAAACTCCAATGGAAAAATGATAAATAAATGATCTATAAATGATCGGTTTTCCCTTACCATGTTTGATAGAGATTCCTGTTCCGGTGTCAACAAAGTAGAAGAAACCACTTCTTGCCATCGCTGGCTGGTTTCGACCTATCCGGAGAGGGATTTGGATGCTGAAAAAATCGAACAGAAGGTATATACGGTATAGTTTGATAGAATCTTGTAGACGCAAAGAAAAAGATTTTTTTTAAAAAAAAAAATACTTTACTTCGTGTGATCCCCACCATGACATTTATACATTTTCTTACTGGCAAATCTTCTGGCATTCTATCTGACATATCTTCTGACATTCTATTTGACATTCTATCTGGCATATCTTCTGGCATATGATCTGGCATATCTTCTGGCATATCTTCTGGCATTCTATCTGGCAAATCTTCTGGCATTCTATCTGACATATCTATCTGGCATATCTTCTGGCACTCTATCTGACATATCTTCTGGCATTCTATCTGGCATATCTTCTGGCATATATTCTGACATATCTTCTGGCATTCTATCTGACATATCTGCATATATTCTGACATATCTTCTGGCATATCTTCTGGTATATCTTCTGGCATATCTTCTGACATATCTATCTGGCATATCTTCTGGCATATTTTCTGGCATTCTATCTGGCAAATCTTCTGGCATTCTATCTGGCATATCTTCTGGCATATCTTCTCTATTCTTCTCTGACATTCTTTCTAACTTTCTTCTGCACATTCTTTGTCCCATATCTTCCTACATGAGGTCCGGCAGGGAACACTTGGCGTGGATACTCGCGGTTGAGGTCCGGCAGGGAACACTGGGCGTGGATGGTCGTGGTTCCGGCAGGGAACACTGGGCCGGCTCGTGGTTGAGGTCCGGCAGGGAACACTGGGCGTGGATGGTCGTGGTTGAGGTCCGGCAGGGAACACTGGGCGTGGATGGTCGTGGTTGAGGTCCGGCAGGGAACACTGGGCGTGGATGGTCGTGGTTGAGGTCCGGCAGAGAACACTGTGGATCGCGGGTCGCAGTTGAGCAAGGACGACGAGGACGACGAGGACGACGAGGACGACGAGGACGACGAGGAGGACGAGGAGGAGGAGGAGAGGAGGACGAGGCAGGAGGAGGCGGAGGAGGAGAAGGAGGAGGAGGCAACTGACATAAAATCTAACAACCCTCACCTGGCAGGTGGGGAAAAAGTATATCTTCATGGCAAAAAATAATCCATGAACCTTCCAAACCTGCGTTGACCAAGAAGGGTTGCTACTTGACTGACCATTGTTCCAGTTCGCACTTCATGGCCAAGTCTAACAGCGAATCTGTACATATTCATATTCAGAGTAGTGATGATAATAACGATAACAACAAATGAGAACAGCATTTATGTATATATAAGGGCAAATTATAATAATTCACTGATCTGAAATAAAGCTATTTTAGGATAGTTACCCCTACTCGTCATCATTACAGTGAGGTCGCAGTGAGGTCGTTATAATTTGCGCATATATATATATATATTTATATTATAGATAAATAGATACTGGATACATACCTAGTATATATAGTGAAATACCACTTGAAGTACCTGGTTGGCGGTTTCAACCCCTCTTACTCACTTGGGATGATCATTCCCAATATATGGAATTACTTTACTTCGTGTGATCCCCACCATGACATTTATACATTTTCTTACTGGCAAATCTTCTGGCATTCTATCTGACATATCTTCTGACATTCTATTTGACATTCTATCTGGCATATCTTCTGGCATATGATCTGGCATATCTTCTGGCATATCTTCTGGCATTCTATCTGGCAAATCTTCTGGCATTCTATCTGGCATATCTTCTGGCACTCTATCTGACATATCTTCTGGCATTCTATCTGGCATATCTTCTGGCATATATTCTGACATATCTTCTGGCATTATATCTGACATATCTTCTGGCATATATTCTGACATATCTTCTGGCATATCTTCTGGCATATCTTCTGGCATATCTTCTGACATATCTATCTGGCATATCTTCTGGCATATTTTCTGGCATTCTATCTGGCATTCTATCTTCTGGCATATCTTCTGGCATATTATCTGGCATTCTATCTGGCATATCCTCTGGCATATCTTCTGGCATATCTTCTGACATTCTTTCTGACATTCTTTCTAACTTTCTTCTGCACATTCTTTGTCCCATATCTTCCTACATGAGGTCCGGCAGGGAACACTTGGCGTGGATACTCGCGGTTGAGGTCCGGTAGGGAACACTGGGCGTGGATGGTCGTGGTTGAGGGCCCGCAGGGAACACTGGGCGAGGATGGTCGTGGTTGAGGTCCGGCAGGGAACACTGGGCGTGGATGGTCGTGGTTGAGGTCCGGCAGGGAACACTGGGCGAGGATGGTCGTGGTTGAGGTCCGGCAGCGAACACTGGGCGTGGATGGTCGTGGTTGAGGTCCGGCAGAGAACACTGTGGATCGCGGGTCGCAGTTGAGCAAGGACGACGAGGACGACGAGGACGACGAGGAGGACGAGGAGGAGGAGGAGAGGAGGACGAGGCAGGAGGAGGCGGAGGAGGAGGAGGAGAAGGAGGAGGAGAAGGAGAAGGAGGAGGAAGAGGAGGCAACTGACATAAAATCTAACAACCCTCACCTGGCAGGTGGGGAAAAAATAAAAATGTTCCAAACCACCATTTTCCCATTTTCGGTCAGCGTGCAAGCTCGGTAACTGGAGCGTAGCACTGTTTGCTAGATCCACCTGCATCGCAAAGCTCTAAATTGTCATCTCCAGGCATTGCGAGGGAGCAGGTAGGCGGAGAAGGGCGGCAGCATTCCGTGTGCACGGTTGAACCAGATTAGCAGCAAGCCAGTTGTCAACCGTATGGAGCGCAAAAGGTGCCCACGGAAGCGAGGCACATTGAACAAATGCCTGGACCATCGAAGAATGTGGCCTGCATTGCTCCATTGCGATGTGCGCTGAGGCTTCCCTCCACACCGATTTCAAGAGTTGCCTGAACCATTTCACCTGCTGTTTGAACGAAAAACCAGATGTAGTGAGATGGGGCCGCATGCTGATGTCGACCCACTGATTTTGGACTCGCAATGGACCTGGCAGTCCCCAGCACATCTGAAAGTCCAGATACAACTGTGCAAACGACACCCAACGCAAATCATCTGCTGTAGTGTCACGAATCCGTTCTGTAAACCATCTCACCACTCTTGAAACATGGGTCGTCCCAAACAACCGAGATGAATCGGGCAGCGCATGACCAAACCAACGTCCAAGAGAAAAATTCATCTCAAACTGTCTGGTGCTCCGCTGCGGCACCTCTGTACCTTGGTCTGCTTCCTCTTCCGACAAAACATGGCGGCGGCCAATTGCAACGTGAAGAGCTTGAACCTGATTGACAAGCTTCTGAGCTGCCTGAGTCGCCTGCACATGTTGTTCCCAAAGCTTCCAAAACTGTTCCGGCCTCGCTTGATTTGCAAGGCGGGCAGCCTTATCCACATAACCATTGTGAAAGAATTGCCACATCTCATCTGCCGTCCGGGCACTTTGCAGAGTGCGGTGGGCGGCAACCTTACGGATTTGAACCCGATCCACCCCAATGTCATCCAATGAAGCAGCAATCCAAATCCACAAGTCGCTGTTGGGCCGATTGACACCAAGGCGAAAACGCCCATTGCACATCAGCTTCACCTTGTTAACCACCCCCGAGCAATCCGACCAAACACGAACAGCAATGCCGGTTCGAGCCGCCCAATGCAAGACATACGCAACAGCAGCAAGTTCAGCACGGAACGCAGTTTGGCACACCCCAGACAACGCAGAAGCATGGAGGACGACAGCCATCTCGGGAGTCCATGACGGCTGAAAGGGAGCAGCCAACACAACGGCCCAAGAAGCAACACGATAAGACACATGTGCTTGCCAAAGACAGGAACCATCCGTGAACACATCATTCCAAACTCCACGGCGAAAGGAGCTAGACGGTGGGACCGCGTCAGCGGGGAGTCCAGCCAGTGTGGCAATTCAAGCTTGCCAAGTGGGAGGCAACAGAGCCCACCCACGCAAAGACAGGGCAGGGGGCAGGGAAGTCCAAACATTGGCCGCATCGGCCGCAAGAGAGGCACGAAGATCTGCATGCTGAATGCACTCCCAATAGCGGTGTTGCAGAGTATCACGCCCCCCACACCATCTGCAAACATCTGATTGATCAGCCCATTTGGCTTTGTAGGCCTCAGTGAAAAGTCCACCAGTCAATCCAAACCGCAGCAGAGCCTGGTCGTCCGGAGCCAAAGCAGCAAGGGCACGCCGGGTAGCAGGTACATCGACCTGCCAAAGTCGATGAAATTCAGAACGATGTTGAACCTTCGAAGCAACCACTTGATACCACGCCCAGGTGAGCCTCATTTCAACCTCAGCAAAATTGCCCTGATGAACCGAGAAGCAGCCAAACGCATCATGGACTAAACCAAGTCGATCAACATGGAGTCCCACATGCTGGAGACGACCCAACAACACTGATGCCACCGAATTGGGGGGTAAGTCCATGTCCCCATGGGCCACACTAGCGACTGAGGCAGTCCAGAAGTCAAGGTCACAACTGAGACGGGCAGCCCGACACGTCCAAAGCAAAGCAACCAACTGGGGATCAGCACGCACCTCAACCAGACCAAGGAGCAAGTGAGAGTTCACACCAGGCTTGTTGCAAGTCAAGGCATTAGTGGCACGACGGCGAAGTTCAGTCCAAACATGATCACCAATTGGCGCACTGGCAATGGCATGGAGCCCTCGCGGCCAGGCAACCGCCCGCAACATGTGCACTTTTGCAGAATGTCTGGCTCTGCAACTGCGCAGTTTCGGCCAGAAGTCTTCCAATGCCTCAAGCCTCTGCGTCACCGTTTTGTTGGTGAACTGTCGGGACACCCCGAAATGGCCTCCGAGCTCACGGGCTTGGTGAACCACAGGAACATTGCGGTCTCTCAGGGCTTTCCGTGTCTGGGCATCGGTGGACCAAGCAACAGTCTTGCGACGATCCACAGTCAAATCCAACATGGAGGCAAATTCCACAACCAAGTCCAATTGCCGCACGGCATAGTCAACGTCCCAAGTGAACACATGCCAATCATCAACATAGGACAGAGACCGGCAGGGCACCCCTTGGTAGGAAGTCCAGACGTGGAAAAGGTGGTCAACCAACAGCATCCCATAGACGCTAAGTCCACACCCTTCGGCCAATCCAGTTGAAGTCAGAAAGCCACTGGAGAACGACTCACGGACCTTAAAGTGCCGTTTCATGGAGGCAAGTCCACCAGCCCATGCAGTTGTAACTTCGGAAGGGGTTCCTGCAAGAACGGCAAGGCACAACGCAGGAAACCTGGGAATACAGTTGAAGCATTTCTCCAAGTCAGCCGATAGCCCGCAAATGGGTTGGCCAGTGCTGTATGCCATTTCAATCTGGAGAAGCAAGAAGTTCCAAAGGTCAGAGGCTTGACGTCCCTTCCTGTTACCATAAACTCCTTCGTCAACCCAGGTTTCAGCCCATTGCAAGAGGTGTCTCGACTGGAGGCTGGACCAAGCACGATAGGGCAAACCAAAGACAGTTATGGGCCTATAGTCTCCAACTCCCGAAGCACCTGCGCATTTGGCGAGAGAGTGGACTTTGCCTGCCAACAATTGGCAAGGCCACATGCCATCGGATTCCGCTCGGCAAAACACATTGACCAAACTTTGCAGCGTTTGGTCATCGGCAAGGAGCAAGTCTTGCCTGCTGACTCCGTCAAGCCCAGTCGCTGCAGTCTTTTTCTTCCGGGACACTTCAGCACGCAACAAGTCCACGTCAACCCGGAGGTGAGGTATGGGTGAAGGCCGGAGAACACGAGAGGCAAAACCCACAAGCTGATCCCATTGACGGAAGGAAGTTGCATCATGACGGCACCAGCGTTGCTTCCATTGGGTATGAAAGGCATCAAAAATAGCCGCCAGGTCACCGACGGGCTCAGATTGGACAACTCTGTCAGTGGCCTGGATGCCATCGATGTCAGTAAGCCACACCTTATCAGCTTCAGCATGTATGACATCCTTTGGAGATCCCCCGACCCACAAGGCAAATCCAGGACGCACATCAACTGACTCAGTAAGGATGACAGCCGACTCCTGAGCATCAACTTCTTCAACAACCCCACTGACTTGATGAAGCAACGTTTCAACAGGCTCTGCAGATGGGCGAGAAACTTCCCTGAAAATCAGGTTCCGATCAGCAGCATGCTGTGCAGACCTGTGAGCAGCGCGCATGTGAACCAACCGACGCTCAAACAACCGCACTTCAGCGAAGACAGCATCAAAGATCTGATGGGCAACACTGGAGGCAGGACAAAACTGGGGAATGCTGCAAGGATCATTGGGGCACACATACCAACGTTCAGGCCACCAACGGGAAAAGGAAGGGACAAACCCAGGTGACTTCAACACAGCAGACCACAACGCAATGCCATGAGTAGTGTCCGAGGTTTTCCCAGCCTCGTGATTCACAACCCACCTCAAGTAGTTCTGCAGACGCCGCAACTGCTTGAACCGCTGGGCATGCACCGATGAAAATCCATAAAAGGTGGGCTGGACATCTTGGTAGCGCCCTCGTTTGATAGGGGCATGCCTGCCAACCACACGGCGGGGTTTGGTTTGTTGACCTCGACCACCCATGGCCGGGACCCACTGGTCCTGCAAAGCTTCCTGGGCACTTTGCTCACGCTGTTGCCACAACACTGCATACTGAGTTGACGGGTCAGTCGGATAGGAAAACTCCACTGCAAATCCAGACGGAGGGACTTGGGACCAGGGCACAGGTTGAGGACACGGCCACACAAAGCGCTCAGCATGACAAGTATCCCCACGGAACCGTGCAACCATGACAGCGTGATCGGCAAAGGTTTCAAAATCCAAGGACAGTCCCACAAAGGCAAGCACCAACTCAGGGGACAACCAGAGGTGATCCTTTCTAGTGGCCCCTTTACATGTCTTCTGGATCGGGGCACCAGTACGCTGTAGCACAAGGTCTTGGACTTCCACCCAACCAGCAGCACGAAGTTTGGCAACTACTTCCAATTCACGTGGCTCAAAATTCCAATCGCCAGCGAAGAACAGAGGACCTGGCAAGGAGTGCAAATGGTCAAACAGAAAATCCAACAGCAACTCAGTTTTCCCCTTGGCGTCAACATGGGTCTTGCCTTGTGGGTACCCATACACAACAGCACCTGTGACCCACCCTGCAGGGCTGAAAAAGGCAGCACACTGAACACGGCTGGTCTCGTACGCATCAACTGGCCATGGAACTGCCAAGGTGCGGCAAGGAAAGCATGAAGCGAACGCAACTCCAGCATAACTACCTGCATCGCTACTGGCGGCCCTCTGCGGGAGTGGGGCGCCAGTGACAACTTTTGTAAAACGGGAACGCATAGCCCGGAGGCTGCCAGAAAAAGCATTGGTGGACCTTTTGGACAAGTGAGTCTCACTGATGGCGACGACCGAGGCATCTATGCTGCTAACCAACTGAAACTTACCTTGCAATCCGGAAGGATTGCAAATCCCAATGCTCCAAGTTGCATCAGCGGCTGGACCAGGGACAGTAGCTTCGCCAACCCTAAAAGTCCCAAAGAACAACATCATCAGGAAAAGCGCCCTGAACATTCGGAAGAACCATGGGAACACCCCACAACCGGGCAACTTTGCAGGGTTCCCGGACCTTCATTCGGTCCGGCTCTTCTTGCACAAAATCGTCTCTATGCGAGACATTTGCTCCGTGAGCATTGTCTGCATCTGCTTGCTTTGGAGGTCCATGGAGACCAGCATCTGTTGTTGCAGGGACTGTACCTGTGCCGACTGCTGAGCATGGTTGTCGGTAACGACGGCTTCAAGCTTGGCATGACGTCCCGCCAATTGCTGGACCTGCTGCTCCAACTGCTGAAGACGTTGGTCCTGCTCGTCCACTTCCATGCATTCCGACTGGGCCGGCAGCTTGGCCAGAATGCTGCGTTCAACTCTGGCCTCAAGTTCTTGCAAGGCATTGGCTGTGGGAGCCGGGGACACAACTGGCGGCACTGTGGCGATGGCCCTCTTCCATGGGTCATGGGTGAGCCACGGGTCATCACTGCCAGCAGGTACAGAGCACAGGCGGACAGTGGCTTCTTGGCCGACAACAGGTGCAGGGGCCTCAGCAGGTGCTTGACGCGGATCATGCCTGGTCAAAACCACCTGACCATGCTGCATTGACAGGACATTGTTGGGGGGTTCACAAATGGCCTGGACCGACCAAACCAACCCACCGACAACACTTTGCAAAGGCTGCAAGGGTCTGCATTCCCACCCAACAGCACGCAGAGCTTTGGCAATGCTCTTTCTGTCACAACCATACGGCCAAGGGCCCGTGTGGTAGGTCAGTCGGGACCCTGGAGCCAAGTAAACTGCTTCTGGTTTGACACTGGCAAAAACTTCGGCAAAGTGCTGAGCCATGACGCGAAGTCCAAAGCGTCGGCCTGACCTGGCAATGCCGATGCAGTGGGCCTCACACTTGGCTTTATGAGCGATTGCTGCAAAGTCCAGGTTCGGAAGCCAAATGACCTGAAAATCATTGTGAGGCTGCATGGCATCTTCAGTTTTGGGCTCGATGAAAACTCCATTGCGGCCACTCAGAGACAAAACTGTTGTTTCCAGGCTTTTCACATATCGAATGAGGACCGCAAAGTAAGAAGCTTTGTCCCACTTCGTCGGACGCCCATTGTCACCGAAGAACTGTCTGCGAAAGACATCCAGCAGGGCATCATGCTGATCCGACTGTTGGGGGTGCCAGGCAGGACATTGGCATCCTTCCGTTCTGCAAGTTTGAAGGCATGGGATGCACGCAAGGACATGCTTCACTGGCTTGCTGGCAAAGTCTTCCCAGCTCTGCTCCCACTGATCATAGTGGACAGTAACCCGGGCACATGCAACATCAACGGACATGATGGACGGCACATTCTTGGCACGGAATTGGTACACAGTTTTGCGGCCAAGCTGAACCAAGACTCCAGACAACAACATGGGTTCGTTATTGTAAGTGCAACGTGCAGCAAACCTCAGAGACGACCACTGCAAGGATGTGGACAAGTCAGCAGGAGGGTTAATGATCAGCAGGGCAAGCCCACCACGTGACAACACCTGTCCATCATCAAGAAAGGGAGCAGCGTCCGCGTAGGTGGCCAAGGCAATTCCAACAGACAGAGGTCCCAAAGTCGAGAAGGGGGTCTGTGACAATGGCTCGTCAGCATCAATGCAAAAGGCCCCATGATCAATAACCAACTTGGATGGGTCCAGCTCAGCTGGCCTGGCAGGGGGGAGGCGTTTGGTGCCACCTGCATTCTTCTTAGGCATGCTGGTTTGGCTCTGGCGGGCTGCAACATGTTGAGCCTGTTCATCGGGCAACACCAGCTGGATCACTGGCTGGTGCAGGTTGGCCAAGTGCTTCAATGACTTCCATGGTGCAACTCCTGTGACAGCAGCTTGGACTTCAGTCTTGCCTAAGCTCTGGAGGATCATCTTGGCACGTGAATTGCACTGGGCATGTGGCACACCATGCAATTGCAACAGGTTGGCGACAAGACCGGTCACATCAGGGACACCCAACCCCCAGCACCAAGGCTTTGGCACTTCAGTCAAAAGTCCAATGGCAGCACCAAAGCTTGTGCGCAACTCAGCATGAATACGCACCAAATCTTCATCATGGACAGGCAAGGGCTTGTTCAGCAACAATTGGCCAAGGAAGCACACAGCCGCAGTACCGCAGTGATCACGTCCAAAGGAACGCCTGTTGCATGCAAGAGCAAACATAGGACGCTGCCACGCTTGACTGATCAAGCCATGCAACGGACACAACGGTTCAACCACTCCATCATCATGCTCCCACATTGTGACCCTTACCTCAGAGAGGCCACACGTCCACATGACAGGGATCCAATGGTCGTCAAGGAGCACCACTGACAATGCACGTCACCTGCGGCAATTCATCCATCCAAGCACGTACCTGATCAACGGTACCATGACGGAGCCACCCAGAAGCAAGCAGGGGATCTAAAAACCGCAGATCAGAACGACCTGACAACTGCACACAAGACATCACATGAAGGGTCAGTTCATCATCACCCATGGCAACTCCCTGGTTGTGGAGAATCTGCAAGCGAGAGGAGCTCGAAGTTGAGGCCTGACGCATGGCAACACACTGTTCTCTGGTCACCACAATCGGAGGAACCAGTGCAGCCAACTGAGGACCGGTCAAAGCAAGAAGACCAGAAAGGGCATCAACCGGAAGCCGGACATCAACCGTGCAGTGACGCTTCAAGCCATGAAAATCAGACACGACATCAAGTCCACGGCTAGGGCTGGAGAGAGACACATCCAAGACAGGTCGGTGAGGGACAATCGGCAAATCCTGCTCAAGCTGAATGGGATCAATTCCAGTAGCATCAGGTTCAGACATCGGCTCACTGGACGGGGATGAACAGACCTGTATGGTGCGACCACTAACCGTCTCATGACCTTGCAAGACAGACGAAGACTGAGCATCAATCCACTTTCCATCCTCCGGTCCTTGAAGAGCATCATCCGCTTGACGCAGCTGAGAAACAGTGGCGTCGGCAGAAACCTGCACTGTGACCTGAGTACAGTCGGCATACACCAGCGTGACTTCATGCACCTCAGGATCCACAATTGTCGGGGCAACAGGCGGGACACTGCGAAAGAGAGTCTTGGCAACGTCATACAGCTTCTGCTTGAACTGCTGGAGACGACAGACAGGAGAAACAGAGTCCGCAGGAAGACCACATCTTTCCAGCAACTGCGCACGAATGCATGCCCCTACCCACAAAGATTGAAGTGGAGACGCAAGTTGTCCAACACCACACAGACAAAGCCGCAAGTCAGGTCTGTCCGCTGAGTTCCAAACATCGGGAGGTGGCAGACCGTTCAAAAGGGCAAGCTCAGTCGGATGCAAATGTCTGTACTGTGGTTCACCTGACTCAGACAAGATCTGGACCACCACAGCATAAATGCCTTTACTTCGAACCAGGGCTTCACTGAAAGGCTCTTGACGACAGGTGCATGGACACGGATCAGCTTGGCTTCCCCAACTGTGCAAACTGGTAGGAAGCTTTTGGTCAGGTTGCAGGACATACTTCCGCATGTGAGAACCATCCAGTGTGAATTGCCTGACTTCATGGGGTTTCAACTGCAACTCCTCAACAACATCGTCTGGCCAAGTAGGAATCACAGGCATCAAATCACGAACCACCAGACCAGCAAACTTTGGCCAATCAGGGATCGACACCTTACCCAATGAAGGATGGGTCGCAACCAACCACCACCTGAACCGACGGGCAGTCCATATGTCCTCAAGTCGAAGTGTGACCTCAGTGATGTGGTATCCAAGCTCAGATTCCAAAGCGGCAAAGAGCGACCGTGCATACCTATTGGTTCGGACAGGCGGTACACACTCCAAAATCAAGAGTGGGCATTGGAACAAGTGACAAGCTCTGAGCGTGGACGGCAGGGTGTTGGACCTCTCATCCTGACTACCACCTTGTGAACCCCCAACTGAGTAGGGCTGACAGCTAATTCCAGCAACCAAACAAAAGGGGGGATCCACCAACGAAGCCACTTGCTTGAGACATGCCAAGTCACCAATGTCACCAAGCACAACAGGGACAGTAGGATGCACAGTTTCATGCAAGGACGCAAGAGGAGCACGCCACTCAACACTGCACGCCAGGTCAAACCCCGCAGCAGCCAGACCGACCCCCGTGGCACCCAACCCAGCACAAAATTCCACAGAACGGAACACCTCACATGCCGGCTTAAGTCCATGTGCAACCACTTCACTGGCATCAGTCAACAGCAGATCCACATAGGGGGGAGTGAAGTCAACCAAGGCTCCAAGCACTGTAAGGCGACGACATCCACGCACCTGAGCATTGATCTCTCCAAAGATCCTGACTGGCCTGTGATCAGGTAAGGAGATTCCCATCACCAAATCATCAGTGAAAACCGTCCCATCGATGACTACAGAAACTGAAGTGCCCTTTGCAACAGAATTCCAGTCAGGGACAAACATGTTGTGGGATCGAACAGGGCTATCCCAATCCCCCATTGCAAACAGAACGACCCAAAATTGGCAAGCGCCGGTCTACCTCTGTACTGGCAGGTTTTGGGCCAAGACCTGTTCCAAACCACCAACCAGGTACTGTTAATACTCATGAACAAAAAAATGATTTTCCCATGGGTTTTCCGGCGCCACCTTCGTGACTTCGGACATCTCAAAGGTCACTTTTCGCTGCAAGGCCACCATAAAGTCGTCCTTCAGGTGGCCAGGGTTTTACCCATGGAAACATGCGAATTTCACCAGAAAAAATGGTGATCTACTGCGGAAAACCATGTGTTTTAAAGGACAAACCAAAAAACCATGTGATTTGGATGCCAAGTTGGTTGAAATCCAAATTGCTGTTGAGTGTTGTGGGTAACGGGTATATAACATAACCAGCAAACACATTTCGCGGTTGGTGAGTAGCTGCAGCCCCCAGACGATAGGTTTCTGTTAATATACATCACCAGGCTCAAAGAAGGATTTATAGCAAATACATGGAACTAGTTATAGGATTCGGGGCCCCAGTCGAGTTCGCGTTCAGTTGCCTAAAAAAAGTGGCTGAATTCTATGGTTTATGGTAGATATAACTATAGATAACTATGGTTAATGGTTTATAAACCAGTAAATTAACATAGACCCTGGTAGATATATGTAGATATAACGAACTAGTTCATGGGGGTTATTTCATGGTTTATAAACCAACGTTCACATCACTGGGGGGCCCATCTTCTATGGATATCAACCGTTGCTTGGTACATGGTGGGATCCATGGTGGTGGTGTACCAACTACCCATGAAATATTCCACTAATAAGCAAAAAAACTACCAACTACCCCAGTATACAAAAGATATGGGGGGGTTCTTTTGTAGACCCAAAAAGCGTCCAAAAAAAATTATCACGCCGAGCATTTCTTCAATTTAATCCATCATATTTTTCCTGATGTCCGATCCTTATAATTATAATCCATCATTTTTTGGTTGCATAATCATTAAATCCATCATGTTAATCCAATAATTAATCCATCATTATCATTATTCATGATTATACTTTATAGTTGATTATCATCATTATCATTATCATTATCATCATTATCAGTATTCATGATTATTCATTGATTCATGTTAATCCATTAATTAGTTAATTAATTAATTAAGTAATTAATTAATTAATTAATTAAGTAGTAATTAATTAATTAATCCATATTTCATTGTTATTCAAATTAATCCATCATACTTTTCTCGATATGTATAGTTGATTTCCCAGCGAACTATATAAACCTCCATGTATTCAACGGGGAATTCCAAGCCACGTTTGAGGCCTGAGGCCTGGGTGTTAATATCATCAAGTAGGATAGAATGGTGTAGAAACATCATGAAACATCATGAAGTTTTATGTATATATATATACATATATCATGCATATATATATATATAATATATAGAATGTATATATAAAATATATATTTACTCTATTTAATGTTGAATGGTTATGTTTGCTCCATCTCATAAGGGACATTTGTGGGTACCACAGCTATGATTGACATGCCACATCATACCTCTGAATATCGCCAAATCCCATAGAATATCCTCATGATATCCAATATCGGTGAATCCCCCGTGAAAATAGCGTTTGAATCCCCAATTCCTATATTCCTATAGTTTACCACTATTTTCATCATCAAACTGTTTTTTATGGAAAATGTGGTAGACCCAATTTCATAAAGCATCCTCAGTAGGACCATTTTTACCGGTGGTTATATAATATCATGCCCAAATTGTAGGTTTATGGCATTGGGTTTACCACATTACCGATCATTGATCCACTATAACCACTGTTGATGATTATCGCAAGTGGGTACCCATAAAATACCAACTACCATGATAAATAGTGATGTACTACTCATAAAATACCCCTTAACTACCAAATTCAAAATCCTACCAATAAAAATGCAGGATGGGGCCCCCCAGTTATAAGTTGCTTTATAAACCATGAAATAACCCCCATGAACTAGTTCGTTATATCTACATATATCTACCATATATCTACCAGGGTCTATGTTAATTTACTGGTTTATAAACCCCATTAACCATAGTTATCTATAGTTATATCTACAATTAACCATAGATTTCAGCCACTTATAAACCAACTGAACGCTATCGACTGGGGGCCCCATCCTGTGATGTCTCCGAATTTTTCAGGTGAAATCTTCAAAAACATCGCCCCATCGTCCCAGGCTCCGCGAAGCAGGGATCGTTAAAACGTGCAGATCTCTCCCGCGAAGGGCCTGAGACCTTGAAACACGCAACAAATGATGGCGATTCCACCGAGAGAAATGTGGATTTTCAGCAAAAATATGGCGATTTCACCAAGAAAAAAATTGGAACTTTGCCAAAATGGAGAGATTGGGGGATTTGATGTGAACCAAGAAGGATTGAATCATCCCATGCCAAATCCAAACATCATAGTTCTTTGAATCCCAAACATGGCGGGTACCCGACAAGATGAGGACTAAAGCATACTAAAGCATCATTCAGATGAAAACAGGGATATAAGACCATGAAAAAGGCGGTTGAAGCAGCGAAGCTTAGGATTTGAGTGAGCCGGGTGTGTCTAAAAACCTGGTAACAAAATAATCATAAATAATCCGAATCTATGGCAATTTTCGGGAAAATGAAGATAAACAATGTTTTTTTTTCAGCTTCAGGATTTACAGACAAACCGTAAGATAGAATTGAGGATACCAAACAACTATTGCCCAGATGCTCCATGTATGGAATATTTGCCTGCAAAACTGGGCCATTTTTGTGGTAAATGCAGGTGAATCTTCCAGCACCATGGAGCAAGCAACAACTATTGGAGATTACTCTCCGGCAAATGAACCCCATTCGCCCCTGACAGGAGTTGTTTGGATGATCAAAATCCACAAAAAAAATTCAGGGTGACCATCCCCATGGTCAAAGTAGGGCCCATGTAAAAAAAAATGGATGCTTAGGGGATGTTTTTTTCCATAGATGATGCTTAGGGCTGATATTCATGGGATATTTCCGATATTAAACATGGTTCCAACAAGAAACCCAAGCTCCAACATTGGTCGAACACCACACGTTCGCAACCATGAATGATGTTGGACCGAATATGCGACCAACTGATGTCCACTACTGATGTTGTTTCATGGGTTTTTCATTGTGATTTTTATCAATTTTATCCCAGTAAATACATGGCAGATGTGCTCACTGATCATTTCCGATCATTCCCCGAACAGATTGGTAATATATAGTTATATATAATTATAGTTATATATGGGTTATATTTCATACCAAAGATTATATATAACTATAGTTATATCCATGAATATATATATATATATGGGTTCTCACTGTTTCCCTATCCATGAATCCAACAAAGCCAGGACATAGGATCACACGATATCACACGACTTGAAGAACAAGCGTAGACGTCAAGACCATCACTGGTTGGTGGTTGACCTACCCCTCTGAAAAATATGAAAGTCAGTTGGGATGATGACATTCCCAATATATGGAAAAATGAAACATGTTCCAAACCACCAACCAGATATGTTGACACATCTGCAGCTCAAAATTCGCAAAAATCATGCAAAAAAAAAAAACGCAATCTTGTGAGCGCGGCCCTAGCATCACGGATCATACATGCAAATTGCTATAGGAACGTCCTCTACCGCCCGCCAGCCACGCAATCTTGTGAGCGCGGCCCTAGCATCACGGATCATACATGCAAATTGCTATAGGAACGTCCTCTACCGCCCGCCAGCCACTGGATTTGGCCCCGAAGTTGGCAATTGCTGCTGCACATGTTTGTTTTGCATACATGTTTTGCGAGTTCCTATTCCTGCTATGACTGCCAGTTCATGTGTCTGAAAACATGCCCAAAACACAACTTTTATATCCAACCTCTGTCAGAGGGGTCTGCGGTGTTCCTGCTATGTTTTTCCGGGATCCAAGCAGATCCAAGAAATGATTCTATAGACCAAACAGGGGGTAGGGGACATAGGATGCAATTGGAATGATCTGGCCTGGCCAACAATGCAGGGCCTAATAATAAAGAATTCTGGGTATTTTAAGCAAATTGCCCCACTTGACTCACTTGATTCTGGCTGCATCTCGGATTTGCTGAAACATGTGGTGAAGTGAAAGCCAGATTGTTGCTAAGTTCCCCATTTGTGCACAATGATTTTCCAGGGCTTCATTCCCAGCATCTTCATTGATTTCATAAACCCAAGCAGAACTTACTGGTGCCCTTTACGCAGTGAATTTGTCG